GATGATTTCTCAACAGAAACTCTGCAGGCCAGAAGGGAGTGGCAAGAGATATTCAAAGTGATGAATGCCAAGAACCTACAACCAAGATTACTTAACCAGCAAAGCTATCATTCAGAATTGAAGGGCAGATAAAGAGCTTCACAGATAAGGAAAAGCTAAAGGAATTCATCACCACCAAACCAGTATTATATGAAATGCTGAAAGGTATCCTTTAAGAAGAGGAAGAAGAAAAAGGTAAAGATACAAATTATGAACAACAAATACGCATCTATCAACAAGTGAATCTAAGAATCAAGTGAATAAATAATCTGATGAACAGAATGAACTGTTGATTATAATAGAATCAGGGACATATAAAGGGAATGGACTGACTATTGTTGGGGGGAAAGGGGGTATGGGGGATGCGGGAAGAGACTGGACAAAAATCGTGCCCCTATGGATGAGGACAGTGGGTGAGGAGTGAGGGCCGAGGGTGGGGTGGGAACAGGGTGGAGGGGAGTTATGGGGAGGAAAAAAGAGGAACAAATGTAATAATCTGAAGAATAAAGATTTAATTAAAAACAAAAGAAACACGAAAAAAACACACAAAAAAAACTGTATTGCACATACTACATTGGTTTCATGCAATTGGCTGAAAATAAAAGACCTATAGGATGGCTTAATAAGAGGCTCCTGTGAAGTTTTTGACCACTGAATATCACAAAACTAGAGATTTCAACAGAAATAGAGCAAAAACATGGCAAGAACCACATAAAAGATAAGTGGACTCTCCAGCACATTCTACTTCTAACAGCATTCTGTAGGTCTTCTCTGTTGGTGACATGGGCAAGCTGCAGAAGGTTGGTTACAACACTTGCCAAGTAAAATTTAATACATACCCCCATCCAAGGAACAACAGCCTCCTGATCACCACACCCTCTGTCTGAGGAACAGCAGCTATGTGTGAAGCCTCCCCCCACCAGCCAGAGGAGCCACCACAACTGTGAACAGCACCCACCAGAGGAGCTGCTACCAACTGAGGAGCAGCTGCTACCACAAAGGCCCGAGGAGCAACTGCAGCCAGAGGAGCCACTGCCACCCACGGAGCAGCCACTGAATGACTCTACATCTAGATATGGCTGTACAATCAAACATGGGTAGACAAAGAAACCCGCAAAGGAAAGAAAAGGAGGACTCACTAGAAAAGCAGCTAAGTGATACAGAGGCATGCAACATGACAGAAAAAGAATTCAGATTAAGGGACCTAGAGTGCATAAACCGGATGGAGCTAAAAATCAACAACTTATGCAAGAAGGAAGAAGAAACAGATGAAAAAAAAATCAATAAATTATGTAAGAACCAAGAAGAAATGAAGAGTGATATAGCCACAATAAAAAACACCATTGAAAGTTTCAACAGTAGACTAGGAGAAGCAGAGGACCGAATTAGAGAATTAGAAGGCAGGAAAACAAAACACACCCAAACTGAGCAGCAATTGGAGAAAAAAATTAAAAGACAGGGGAGGGCCTTTTTTTTTTTTTTTTTTTTTTTTAGTATATGTGCTGCCGATGCGAGCACAAGACAGGAGGAGAGCCTTAAGGGAGCTATGGGACAACATGAAACAAAACAACATACGAATAATAAGGGTGCCAGAACAACAGAAAAAGGAACAAGGGTTAGAAAACCTATTCGAAGAAATAATATCAGAAAACTTCCCAGAGGTGGGGAAGAAAAAAATCACACAAGAACAGAGAATCCCAAAGAAGGTGAACCTGAAAAGACCCACTCCAAGATACATCATAATTACCATGGCAAATGTTCAGGACAAAGAGAGAATCTTAAAGGCTGCAAGAGAGAGATGGAAAGTTACATTCAAGGGATCTCCCATTAGATTATCAAATGATTTCTCAACAGAAACACATCAGGCCAGAAAAGAATGGACAGAAATTTACAAAGTGATGCAAAGCAAATGACTGAATACAAGGATACTCTATCCAGCAAGGTTGTCATTCAAAATTGAATGGGAAATAACAAGCATCACAGACAAAAACAGGCTAAGGG